AATAATAAAACAAACAACTGTAACTGCCTTCGTCAAGAACTGAGCGACAAACGAAAGATTTCAATTGAAACATTTCAAAATTAGCTCGGACTCTGTCTTTTTGTCTCGATGAGCGAAACATAGAAAGAGACAGACACGAACACTAAATTTTATTGGGACATTTGAATAATCAACCCGTTATTATCAGAGTACATTGGAAACTAAAATATTTTCGTCTTCATTGTACTGTACGTAGTTTGAATAGTCAAACTACAAATGCTGCCTTGAATAGAAATATCCAGTAAAAAAAAAAAGCCTTGATTATTTAAATGCAAGACTGACAATCGATACTAATTTGAAATGTTTAAATTATTTTGATAACACACAAACTGAATCATTTCGTTCGTGTAATCATGAAATATGTTATTAATTTATAATGCCGGCCCTTCATTTGGTATTATTGACAAAAAAATATCATATTTTAACGTGGCAAAATCAATTCTATGCTTACTAAGGTTAAGATGATTTTGCTTTGACCACAGTGCGAATGTTAATAGATTTCAAAATCACAAAACACAGAAAAAAACAAACTTTCTAATTCTCGGTACTTCAAACTATATACTATAAATTTTAGAACAATAATTTAAAAAAAAATACTTTCAAATTGTCACACAGATTACCTCCACAATATTAGATTTATTATAAGGCTATTTTACAAATATTCTTATGCTTCTTAATTTCGATGATATTAAACACCAATTGAAGTACCAGCAATTAACGACGAACAAAATACTAATTCCTATGACCGCGTGCTCTCTAACATGCGCGTATATATAACACGTATTCCAAAAAACAGCCTTTAAATAGTTCGAGAGTGAGACGTACTAAATCTAGAACTATCGATAGGTTATCGTGAAGCAAAAACTACCTAAGTAGGCACAGAAGGGTTCAGTACATTTGGCTTATTGCGGGGACGACTTTATCACAACAACTATTCACGTGCATCGAGCGAACGATGCTAAAAATATATATATATAAATAAATAAATAAATAAAAACCGAAACAATGGAATGTATTTCTTTAACTTCTAAAGTTCTGCTTTGATACTGTAGATCGAACAATAATAATAATAATAATGTTTATATATTATTATATTAACGTATATATATACTTTGATTATTATTTTTTAAACCAATAAATCGCATTTCCGCCCGTGCAACAAGGATAAAGCGACAATAGTTTAACACTAATTAAGTTTCATATTATTTAAACCTATAAAATTTTATCCTACAAAATAACATTGAGCTGAGATCTTGCACCTACTAATAATTTATGTATACCTAAATAAAATTCATCTGTGTTTTTATTCAAACAAACAAAAGTTAAAAACGTTACGTAAACAAAACTTTACCAAAATAAACAACAGAATTTGATAAAAATTAAAAGTAAGATCTGCCACTCTCAACAACATAATTCTAGAAAGTTTTTTTTTTTCGATTGTAATTCTGGACTTCCCATACGACATCTTACGAAACGCAAAGAGAAAACAAAGTAATAGTAAAATGTCGTGTTGTTTAAAAATGAGAAGCCATTCGAAATTCGGACATAAATTTTACAAAGCTTCGCAGAGAGCAAATTCATTACAGGTGACGTCACGTGGGGCCAAAAATGTACGAGCTTACCACAGATTATACGTTCGCATGACGATTGACCGCGTAAGACCTTAAAGCACCTACCACCAGTAATTACGCAGATTATAATTATGCTGGTTCATAGTTTAATTTTCTTCGTCTTTATCGAAAACCAATTTCTATGAAGGATATTTTAGTTTTATTCGACGACTTCTGTGTATGTAATTATCAAAATATATATCGAGGGTGATATTAATTGGTATAAGCGACATTTCGCTTAACCCGCAACATTTATCTTTGTAATTAAACGTGTGTTTTATTTGGTATTAGCATCAACCGTTCGATGTTTTTAATTGAACTTCAATTAAGTTAACTTCATTTAGAGCTGAAGAAGTTTTTTTTTTTTATTTTTTTTTCCAATTTTTAAACTTTGGTTCTCCTGTAATGTTGCAAAAATTTCGCGTCAACGAACTAGCCTTTCAACCTTCGATATATTATGAAATAAAATCCCACAAAACAGCAATTATATTGGGCTAAACGGTAAAATACATATTTTCTAACACTGCGTTTATAAGCACGCACATTTTTATCAATATGACACAATCTTGCATTTTTATTGATGAAGACGACGAAGAAACGAATTAAACATTCCCAGATCGCGGTCCTGAAATCGATAAATGTTGTATACGAAACAAAAAATTATATCAAAATTACATTACGCTTTTTTATCGATAATGCTTAATTTCTTTATCGATTATTTCATTAAAAATAAAATCGATATCGTAATCGCTAAATGATAATCGTTTCGTCCCTAGTCAACGTGAATGGGGCCAACTACCTCTCAAGCCACTCTATCACTCAAACTTCAAACAATAGCGCACGTTGGCTTCGCGGCCGACACGAGCAGGACAACGGTACCGGTCCGCACGGACTACTGCCAATACAATTTCGTAAATCTCGCAATAAACTCGTTTGTCAATATCTCCACGTGCAGTATATAATAATATAATTGATATGGAGGGTAGAAGTAAGGAGCACTTTTTTTTAAAGGATTTTATGACCTGGTAACTAAGACCATTAGATCAAGTCTTATTTTAATGAACAAAGAAATGAAATGAGATGAAATATAATCTCAGTAAAATGGTGGTCATTTACTGAGACTTTTTCAGTTGACTTTTTGGTGGATCCCGAGAAGTTACGTTCAGCGGCTTTGTTTGAATTTCCCACATTTGTGCACTTTAACAGATACTAAACAGTTAACAAACCACCGTTATTACACATTTAAACCTGAAGAAACACTAAATAGACAAAATAAAACAAATCACACAACTTCACTCCTCGCGTTCCCGCCAAGTCTCAGTAAGGAGCACGATCTCAGTGTATTAAAACGTGTCCGCTGAAAAGGAGCCAATTAAGATGGCGCCACAGTAGCAAGTGGAAGGATTTTAAAAACAGCGCCATAACTATTAGAGTAATAAATTAAATTAAATTAAGAAAGAAAGAAACACTTCCTATATAAATACTGCATATTTTTTTAACTACAACGAAAACTATTAAATTTTTCAAATCGGCACACTTCACTGAGTTCTTTTTTTTTATTGCTTAAATGGGTAGACGAGCTCACAGCCCACCTGGTGTTAACTGGTTACTGGAGCCCATAGACATCTACGGCGTAAATGCGCCATCCACCTTGAGATATAAGTTCTAAGATCTCAGTACAGTTACAACGGCTGCCCCGTCCTTCAAACCGAAACGCATTACTGCTTCACGGCAGAAATAGGCAGGGCGGTGGTGCCTATCCGCGCAGACTCACAAGAGGTCCTACCACCAGTAATAATAAGTTTTGCTATATTCATATCATTTCCATTTTCTACACTAGCGCTATTTCGGTGGAGCTTTCCTACAATAACCTTCTGTTTACAGGTGGATACTTTCTCAATTTGTCTCCTATAGAAAGATGGTTCTCCTTACTTCTACTTCTCATAATATCATTCATTCAATCGATAGGATGTCCATGATTTTTGCAAGATATCCAAAAACTTTTGTATAATAAAAGTAAAAATATATAGTCGTGAATTACATATTCTCACTACAAATTTACGATCTATGGTCACTTCTAAATTACTGTTCTGTAAATAAATAAAAGCATATAATAAGAAAATTAACTGTGTTCATTTGAAAAAATCCACGTATCATTATAGAACATGTCATTGTGAATTCACTATAAAATTTTCTAAGTACTAATTTCGTAACTAACAAATATCTATTTACCGAACTAATTAATATTTGAACTATCAATTAATAAAAAAAACAAAATACGAATAAATTTATATTTAAAAAAAAATCATTTATATATTTTGTATACGGATATTTAAAATTTTAATTAACTTTTAAATTGACGAAACGTAATTATTTTTTTTAATTCAAAAACATTTTTACTAAAAAGTTTTCAATTGTAATTTTATGTCATAAAATTTAAAAGGTTTTTTTTTTTTCTTTTTTCGTCTAGTAAAAATAGTATTAGAGAGTTATTTACAATTATTAAAAAATATATATAAATTAGGTGGGGGTCGGGGTAACTGTTCTATCTTTGAATTTGAAAATTAAAAAATAAAAAAGTCTGAAAACATTTTTAGAGACGTCTTAGTCATGTTCCACATTTTTCGCAATACTGCAACGCAATACGATTGAAAGTAGAGCGAGCACGTGTCCAGACTCAAACCTGCGGTCCCTCGAATCAGACGCTCACGCCGCAGAGCCACAAACGCGATAGAAGTGACACGGATCTGTTTTGTCACTCAATTAAAAATATATTAAAAACGAATGTTCCAGAACGAATTTTTCTGTCACAAACAGAATAATCAAAATTACAAATTAAACTTTATACAATATGACAACATCATCGCACACGGCTGCGCACGGAAGCTATACAACGTACGATTTAAAACGTATGCGTATTATATATTACCTCCGTGATTCAAATGAACCTTAACTCAAAGGAATAACGTCGATTTTTTATTAATGTTGAGAATAATTTCAATACCAAAAACTCGAAATTTCGATTAAGCGTTCAGTGATCCTCAAATAACGACGACACAAAATTCCACTTCGAGCCAATTTACATTTCATTACTTAAACCGACAAGTCCGAATTCGCAGCGGTAAATTTAAAAAATCCTCAATATCACAAGCCAAATTCGACTTTATCACGTTCACGGAGCGTTCGGTTTAGACCAGGGATTCCCAAACTTATTTTGTCCACTGCCCACTTTGAGAATAAATTATTTTTTAGCGCCCCCCTTTTTTAACCTACTTAAAAACCACTATAGCTCATTCGGTGTCTAAGAGTCCTCCTAGATGAAATCACAAATCGCCTCCCAAGCCTCTACACAACGCCCCAATTTTTTTCTGCGTGTCTTACCGCCCCCCTTTAATCCTGCAGCGCCCACAGGGGGGCGTTATAACCCACTTTGGGAAAGGCTGGTTTAGACGATGCTCCCGCACTTCCCGTTGGTCAACGAGAGATTTTGGCTCAGGGTCGGGCGGCCGAGCGTGTTGTGGGCATACACTAGATTCGAATCGTAGCCGTTCGTGTAGTGGTTGTTCTGGAGGCCGATCAGCAGCTCGACCAGCGCGTTGCTGGCGCTCTGGGCGTTCAGGAGTTCGAATATGATGCAGTTGCACTCCGGCTCTGGACTCTTGAGGCTCTTGGAGCTCGAAGCAGACGAGGAGCTGGACGCGTTGGAGGGCGGCGTCGGGTGCAGAGGGCACGTCAGCTGCAAGTTCCGCGGGTACTGGGTGGGGATGCCCGATAGGTGGTTGGCGGCCGCGCGCGCGTAGAACACGCACGTGTGCCCGTCCGCGTCCGGGAAGTTAGGGTTGCCGTTGTGCTGTAATACGAATTGTAACATTATAGATCTAAGTGCGCCGTGTTAAGAGTGCATTTTTTTTATTACTTAGATGGGTGGACGAGCTTACAGCCGACCTGGTATTAAGTAGCTACTGGAACCCATAGACATCCAAAACGTAAATGCGCCACCCATCTTGAGATATAAGTTCTAAGGTCTCGAGTATAGTTACAACGACTGCACCACCTATCAAACCGAAACGCATTACTGCTTCACGGCAGAAACAGGCAGGGTGGTGGTACCCACCCGCGCAAACTCACAAGAGGTTCCCACCATCAGTAGCTACGCAAATTATAATTTTGCGGGTTTCATTTTTATTACACGAAGTTATTCCTTCACTGTGGAAGTCGATCGTGAACATTTTCTAAGTACGTATTTCATTAGAAAAATTGGTACCCGCTTGAGATTCGAACACCGGTGCATCGATCAACACGAATACACCGGACGTGTTATCCGTTAGGGCGCGACGAGATCTAGAACCGTACCCATATGAGCAGCTGCGCGGCGGCGAGGTGCCCGGCGGCGACGGCGGCCCGCAGCGCCAGCGCGCGCTCGTGCGGGGCGGGNCGCCGCGCGCGCCCGCCCCGCGCAGCGCCTCCAGCCCGCCCGCCGCCTCCGTCGCGCTGTAGAACTGCCGCCGCTCGTACTTCAGGCGGATCCATCTGTCGGCAAAATATATGTTAATTTTGGTGTGACTGCATTTCATTCTTTCATTTTAAAAGGCGCCCTGAATAAATTTTTTTAAGATCTCATTCTCTCTACTGCGGCTGCCGGTGGGTATAACAATTACCGTTACATTAATTACACTATAATGGCTCACGCGGGGCCCTGAAACTGCGATACTTTAAGATCAATTTTTTTTTGTATGGAAACTATCGACATCTTGTAGCGAATGTCCCTAAACTTATATTTTAATAAAGTCAAGGCATTTAATTATTGTGTAACTAAAAACAGAATAATAAATCATATCAATAAAAATTAATAAATCATACCAGTCTTTATTTGACAAATTAACATGTACAAATTGATTAAATTTTATGAATTAGTGGTTTTGAGAAAATTTACAAAATCCTTCATTAAAAATAAAATATAGGATAGGTAATTTGTTACTGCCATCTACAGGAGCAATGAGAAACTAATCGAAGCGAAGCCATCTAGTGGCCGACGCCCCTAAACTTTTTTGTAGTGCGTGAGTTGCTTATCTAAAACTAATTTATGTGTATTATCTATGGGCTCACCGCTCTTTCTCTTCCCGGGAGGAAGTCGCAACCGGTTTCACGTGTCCCCGGAGGTCAGCCTCCCATATTGAATTGGCTAAAGCGTTACCGATCGACACCATGACGCTGACGTGACTCAACCTGTGAACAAAGGAGACGCAATTTATTTATTTATCAAAAGCAGGGCAGGACGCCCTCAGGCTCGATGGAGTGATGATCTGTGCAGGGTGGCTGGTAGGAGTTGGATGAGAGAAGCCGAGGATCGTGCTTAGTGGCGAGCAATTGGAGAGGCATATGTGCAGCAGTGGACTGCTATAGGCCGATGATGATTCATGTATTTATTCAGAGACGCATTTCAAGGTTAAGCTGGAAAATATTACTGGAGCTCATAGACTTCTACAACATAAACGCGTCACCCACCTTGAGATATAAGTTCTAAGGGTCTCAGTATAGTTACAACGGCTGCCCCACCCTTCAAACCGTAACGCATTACTGCTTCACGGCAGAAATAGGCGGGGCGGTGGTACCTACCCGTGCGGACTCACAAGAGGTATTATCACCTATCCTACCACCGCCCAGCAGGTTTAAAACAATCCTAGGAGGTACACTTACGGCCATTCGTCCAGGTCCAGCGAGCGCACTCGCGATATGTGGGAGCCGAGGTTGCGGTGTACCCCGGAGCACTCTATGCAGATCAGCACGCCGAGGTTCAGACTCGCCCAGTCCGGATCTGTAACGAGTTTTATTAATACGCTTTTATTAGCTTCAGACGTATGCATGTAGCGGAATATTTGAACGTGATTTTGACCCCCTTCAAAACGTCAGATTAACTCGAAATTTGGTATACTTATTAAGGACCGATGACAATTCAATATTTAAAAAAAAAATTAAAACCAAAAAAAAAGTGAAGAAATTGAAATTCAACTAAAAAATAAAATTTATTTTCTATTATATTATAGCCCTATTATATTAAGGCGTAGTCTGAAAGCGGCTTCAACTGTTTTTGATTTTACATTACATTGCTGGTTTTTTTTTTAAAAGTAAACTAATATATTTTTTTGCTGTACTAACATGATGAAGCGTAGATAATGGTAGTAAAACGTTTCAAAAAAAATGTTTCATTTTTTTAAATCAGTTTCGATTTTCTCCGTCGCATCATCAAAGGTGTCATTAGTACGACATGACAGACGGATTGTCTTCGTTTTCGGAGGCGGTCTCCTAACACCTAGTACAGAGTGTAGTGTGGTTGGTGGTGGTGGTGGGACAGACCTGGGGCGCCGCAGTCGCAGCACTGGTGGTTGCCGGCGACGCGGCGCACGTAGCGCGTGGCGCGCACGTCGCCCGTGGTGTTGGCGCCCGTGGGCAGCGGCTGGCGCGACGTCTGTCGGGACAAGCCGGTATGTCGGGTCATGAAACGTTACCTTCATAGCGTAGCGACAGTTCCTCTCTGCCGGAACGCATGCTTGCAGCAAAAGCCTTGAGAGGCTATGTCAGCGTAACCTTAACTAGTAGGTGAGCTCACGGGACCCAAACCTGACGTTTTTGCTAACACGAACCCTAGCAAGAGCCGTGCTTCGCAGAATCTACCATCGAATAGGAAACGCGACCCACTGAGAAGATCCGGCGAGAAACTCAGTGGGCTGTGTCTGTGGGTTAATTTACTCGCAGAGCCCTTCGTCGCAAGCGACGGGTTCGACGGGAACGATGAGCGGTTCAAATCTCATTTCTTTTTTTCGGCCGAAGGCCAACCTTCCTACGTAGTGCCTGCATCTAGATGGCGCACGGAGTATTGGAAGGTCCGCAAATGTTAGAAGCGAACCACAAGCCCAAAGATGGTATGTAAGGCGACTCCCCTACACTTTCACCCAAGCGTCCGATCGCTCCCGAGGTCAGAACCCGGGCGAGGTAAGGGAGATTACCACGGTAAACACTAAAGCCAGACCCGCGACTCACCCTAAAGACGCTCGATACAAATCATAACATGAACATTGTTTTTTTTTGAAGTGAAACTTCTAATGCGTCTTCCAACAAGGTTGCGTTAAACGTTGAACGCTCCTGGGTAGGGGGAATAGAAAGAGACAGAGCGAGAGTGAATGCGTGACACTCGAACGCATGCGCTAGTATACCTGTTACAGGCCAGCGCGAGCGTTAGCAACGAGTAGCGTCCAATATTTTAAATCTGATTTAAGGATGTATAATGAACTACAAACCACAATACTACACATCGAGTTTCACTTCATTCACGTGCACCAAGTTGCAAGAGCGCCGTTTTTTTTTTAAATATGCCTGAAACTTTTAGCCACGTCACGTATTTGAATGAACAGTGTGCTTAGTGCGAGTTTTTTAACGTTCTCGATAGCGTAAAAGTTAGCCCAATTTTGTATGCAGTTGGAATAACGCGCTTAGCGGCAAACGTACGCAAACGATTCCATTCCATACAAATATGATCTAACTTTTACGCTATCGAGAACGTTAAAAAACTCGCACTAAGCACACTGATCTGCTTAGAGTAAACGTTCCGTACCCTGCCCTGTAGGGAGGCGAGGATCTGCGCTTCGACGGCGGCGACCCAGGCGTCCCGCTCGGCGGCGGCCGCGGCCCCCGCGCCCCCCGCGCCGCACACCTCCCAGCGCCACCGCTTGCCGTCCAGACTCACGATCGTGAACTCGCACGACGTGCCGCACTCCCCCTCTGCAACAAAAACGAAATATTTTACTGGTGGTAGGACCTCTTGTGAGTCCGCGCGGGTAGATACCACCGCCCTGCCTATTTCTGCCGTGAAGCACTCATGCGTTTCGGTCTGAAGGCTAGGGCAGCCGTTGTAACTATTCTGAGATCTTAGAACTTATATCTCAAGGTGGGTGGCGCATTTACGTTATAGATATCTATGGGCTCCAGTAATTACTTAACACCAGGTGGGCCGTGAGCTCGTCCACCCACCTAAGAAATAAATAAATAAAATGAGCGAACATGATCTCTACCTAGGATTGCCTGCACTATTTAAAACACAAAAAAAACGAATATTGGGTAAATTAACTGAAAGTACTGAAATAAGGAATGAATGTATAAAATTTTGATGAGCGATTAATGAATGGTTGTATGAATGATTGAATTGTGATGAATTACAAAAACATAAAAACAACCAACTTTGGATATGTACATAAATAAACTGAGATCACTGAATTAAAGAACGAATGTACACAATTTCGGTGAGCGAATGATGAATGATTGAATGGTAATGTATTATTAGTACTGAATAAATAAATAAAAATCAAAGAACTTGGATGGATGTCGGTTATCAGAAATTTCTTTAATGCAATTTCTTTTAATTTCCTCGAAACCTATTCAAAACTTTAATTATCGATAAAACAATATTATTTATGACAAGTGAAGGAAAAATTATTGTATTTTTTTGTTTTCCTTCTTTGTCGTTTAAAAAAATCAGTTGCGTGCTGCCATTCGTGAAACCTAATTTATTGATCAATTAATAACAATTATGATACATTACTGATACTAGTTATAAAACAGCCGACGCTGTTGTAATCGCACGGGACCTTTTAAAGCAACTAGACTTTTATTTAAATACAAAAGTAATTCGACATGAAATATTTTCATCGGATGAAATATTAACACATACATAATGTAGACTAACCCTAATCTTAATTTCCTTCTTTTTAGGATCGACAAAAAATCCAATTTTTCATTGACGGGAAAATATTGTGTTCACGGCCCATCTGATGTTAAGTTATTAGGGAACTCATAGAAATCACAATACGAATACCATCACTCATTTTGAGACATAGCTTCAATTCTCATTGTTATGTAGATGTCTATAGGTTCCGGTAACCATTTAGGTGGGCCGTGAGCTCGTCCACCTATTGGAGCAATAAAGAAATAAATAAACTATCAATTTTAATGTTCGTTTATTAAACATTACTGTGGAGGTAGCTATACATTGAAAAAATGATTTAAAAAAAAAAACGCGTGCGGCCCTCGGGGATTGCCGCGGTAAAGCTATTGCATAGCATTTTTTATCAACTTATGCAATTATATTTAGAAAATAATAATTTCATATTAAAACAATAATAAAATAAGACCACGCTATATTTATAAACATTAACAAAAGCAAAACATTAACTGTCCCCTTCCCACTCATAAGCTAGACCGCGCGAGAGAGAGATAAGCAGACTTTTCATGATGCGCGTGCAGTGCGACGTCACGCCGAGCGCTTATTCACTAACACTACACAAGCGCAACGTGTGAATGTGTTGACCTCGAGCTACATGGTAGACAGAGTGGGGGTGTTAGGTTTTATTTTCGTTACGTAATTTCTTGATTCGGTCGCCGCCCTCAAAACCCTGCAATAGCTACAAAAGAGGACAGAACGTACCTTCGTCTCCGTCCTTCTTGAGGCCGGTGCTTTTCATTCGGCGGTGTCGTTTCTTCACATGCGGTGTGTCCTTGTCGGCTCCGTTGGTGGAGCCCACGTCCGGCTCCGAAGCGAGCGACTGCCGGCTCGAGGCTGGCTCTTTCATCGTCTCAAACGCCGACATCAGCGCTTTGTCTGTGGCCCGTTTTTCTTTATACCCTGCGACGTTGTTAGCAGAATTTACACTTCCTTTTCTTCTACGTTACTGGTGGTAGGACCTCTTGTGAGTCCGCGCGGGTAGGTACCACCACCCCGCCCATTTCTGCCGTGAAGCATTAATGCGTTTCGGTTTGAAGGGTGGGTGGGGCAGCCGTTGTCACTATAATTGAGAGCTTAGAACTTATATCTCGAGGTGGGTGGCGAATTTACGTTGTAGATGTCTATGGACTAGAGTAATCACTTAACACCAGGCGGGCAGTGAGCTCGTCCACCCATCTAAGCAATAAAAAAAAGTACCTGCTATTCGCTTACAAAAATTGGTACCTGCCTGAGACATTTCAACACCAAAGTACGAATGCATCATCTTACCATAATTAATCCACGACGTCTAAATTAACTTCATCTTCCATTTATTCTGCTGACCGTACTTTTTTGTATAATCTATGAATGTTTTTGGCCAATAAAAAAGCTAGAGTTAACTTAACGCTTACACCTACACCCTCTATAGCAATGACTGCTAATTTGTCATCAGCATCATCTACCACTCACCAAGAGAGAGTCCACTGATGCTGTCGTGTATATCCAGACTGCTGTATCCGTTGTATCCCGGTACTGTGGTAATGATGGACTTGGAACCTCGTGGTTTCTGTCCTGGGACTTTCACTGTCACATACTGAAGAGATATCTCTTTTCCATTGACATCTTCCATGTAGTCCTGGAATTAATGGGCAATTTCATTGATTTATGAAAACTGTGACTGGTTTGTAAAATTTTATTCCTGGGGAAATTAAAGGTTTCCTTTTAATTTTCTGTTTCCTAAGCTTCAAAACATTAAATACAGACTTTACTTATCATCACTCAACTCGCAATTTCGAGATGCCTTGACCCTATTTTGGACTGACAAAAATTTGAAGCTACGACTTCAGCATATCTGAAACTACGCGGAAAGATCTTCTTTAGGTGTCCATGGACTTCACAACTTAACATCAGAGACTACTCAATCTGCTCATCTGGATAGGTTTGCATTTTTTTTTATTGCTTAGATGGTCGAACGAGCTCAAAGCCCACCTGTTGTTAAGTGGTTACTGGAGCCCATAGACATCTACAACGTAAATGCCGCCACCCACCTTGAGATGAGTTCTAAGGTCTCAGTATAGTTACAACGGCTGCCCCACCCTTCAAACCGAAACGCATTACTGCTTCACGGCAGAAATAGGCGGAGTGGTGGTACCTACCCGTGCGGACTCACAAGAAATCCTACCACCAGTAAAAAATGTATTACTGTAAATCCAGGCGAACCGGAAACCCTCTTTTCGTACGCTACCAACACAACCAGAAAAGTTAGCTGTTTCTTTATTAGCAAGTTAACTTACATGTAAGCTGGGATGGTAGGTCAATCTCCCATCATCACACAGAGTCACATACTTTTTCTTCCACTCTTTGTTCAGAGCCTTACTGCTTTTCTTGTACAAGTATCCCTGTTTCAACGGTATCGCCCTCCCTGAGCCTAGCTCTCCGTTTTTCAATCTATCATCACCCTTCTTCGACGGCGTGAAGAGATTCGATCTTCTCCTGGTTTTCCTCGAGGTTGTGGGAGTTGAAGACGGTGTGGGCAGGTCTTTGGGGTCTTTCAGCGGCTGCAGATCGTCCAAACAGTGCCGGGCCGTGTATTTAACGTTGTTATTCTCCGTTGCTATGGAAACCAAGCCAGAAGACGATCCGTGGCTGCCGAGAGAGTTGCCCCATCGTGATGACGTATCGGAACCGTTGGTGCTGTGGATCTCGACGACGTGCGTGGACGAGATGCCGCTGCTGTTTGATGAGGCGTCAAATGAGGAAGCTCCTCGATGTAGGTGATGAGATGACGCAGAGAGCGTGTGATGGCCCCGTGGTAATGAATCCTATTAACAAAAACGACAATTACAGTTGAATTTTTTTTTATTGCTTAGATGGGCGGACGTGCTCACAGCCTACCTGATGTTAAGTGGTTACTGGAGCCCATAGACATCTACAACGTAAATGCGCCAACCACCTTGAGATATAAGTTCTAAGGTCTCAGTATAGTTACAACAGCTGCCCCACCCTTCAAACCGAAAGGCATTACTACTTCACGGCAGAAATAGGCGGGGTGGTGGTATCTACCCGTTATTACTATTATTAAATAATACATTTAAATAATGTGGTAGCAATAACCAGAGGTACGCAGCATTGAGTACATGTATCCACTTCGTGCGACTAAGTCTTAGTCGCACGAATTATCAGTGAAAGCAAATGTACTGTTTTACAGACATGAAATTACGACCCTCTTGAGCATCTTCGTTCTTGACTACCACGAAGAGAATTTGAAGAAGACAATAGTCCGATACAAAAAGTTATACTTGTCACCTAAAACGAAGTAGGTAATTGCGTTAAATTTCAATTAAAATTAACTTAATGCGACAGCTTCCTTCCTATTCGAGCGCGCTGAACTGAATAAAAACCAGTTTATCGCAAGTAGGCCATTTCCTATGGGGGCGACTGAAACGATGGCCCTATGTAGGACGAAGCTCCAGTATAATAATTGAATTTATCAACGCAACTGTATCTAATTGAAATAATGAGACCACGTGCATCAATGATGGTAGATACCTAACTACGAGTGTTATTGTCGAAGAGAAATTAACGTTTTGTTTCGGAGTTATGAAGTATATCTCTGTTATTATTACGAGTCATCATTATCCTGCCCTTCTCCCAGTCACCTGGGGTCGGCGCAACATGTTTTCTCCTTCCATACTCTTCTATCATATACCATTTCTTCGCTCACTCCCCTCTTACCCATATCGTCTTTCACACAATCCATCTATTTCTTCGTAGGTCTACCTCCTCCTCTATATCCTTCCACATTCATAGTTAACAATCTCTTACCAACCTCATTTTCATTTCGTCTCATCACATATCTATACCATCCCAAGCGCGCACTCCTCAGCCTCTCTGTTATTATTACTAGTATAATGTTTTATTGACATAAGCCACATAGTGCCTATCGTAATAAACAGACAAGTCGTCGTGGCCTAAAGGATAAGACGTCCGGTGCATTCGTATGTAGCGATGCACCGGTGGTCGTATCTCAAGCGGGTACCAATTTTTCTAATGAAATACGCACTCAACAAATGTTCACGATTCGACTTCCACGGTGAAGGAATAACATCGTGTAATAAAAATCAAGCCCCCAAAATTATAGTTTGCGTAATTGCTGGTGGTGGGACCTCTTGTGAGTTCGCGCGGGTAGGTACCACTACCCTGCCTATTTCTGCAGCAGTAATGCGTTTCAGTACAGTTTTCATGGTTACCAAGTACTGCTTAACTGACATTTGTTAAACTTTTAAGGAATATTTCCGATTCGATTTACAAACTTGTATGTACACTATTTCTCGCTGCGATGACAGGAACCAGAGTCACAATAACACCCCGTATTGAAAATAAATAAATATTGTTTCAACAGTTGAAACATTACGGGGCGAGCTTCCGTTTCTAGAACATTCATCAGAACACGCATACATACCTACCAAAGAATGTGAATATACATCATCATAACGGCCGTCTGGTGTAGTGGTAAGTGACATGGTCACTACACAAGAAGGTCGCGGGTTCGAATCCCGCCAAGGGAAGAAATTTGTATGATAAATATAAATGTCTTTTCCAGGGTTATGGATGTATATTAAATATATGTATGTGTATAATAAAAATCTTACATTTATATCCGTTATCTGGTACCTGTAACACAAGTTCTTTACGAACTTATCACGGGACCAGTTAACGTGGCGTGATTGTTAATAAATANGGGTCGCGGGTTCGAATCCCGCCAAGGGAAGAAATTTGTATGATAAATATAAATGTCTTTTCCAGGGTTATGGATGTATATTAAATATATGTATGTGTATAATAAAAATCTTACATTTATATCCGTTATCTGGTACCTGTAACACAAGTTCTTTACGAACTTATCACGGGACCAGTTAACGTGGCGTGATTGTTAATAAATATTTATATTATATTATTTATATTACATCAAAGAATATGTAAATATGTACAGAAAGTCACGTTTTCACCGAAACATTACACATTATTATTATTGTATGTACACGATCATTAGATAAGTCGTTTTGATAAATTTTCAAAATAAGGAAGTACCTAAGCTCTTCTATCAATAGACTACTTATCCTCAGGCCGCTGACTCATTGAGGAAATTCACAATGTACCTATTCAAGCCCTTTTTGGATGAAATGTCACCACCTTCGAAGGTCAGAGACACAGTGAGACGTGTCAGGAATAATTATTTTTTTTATTGCTTAGATGGGTGGACCAACTCACAGCCCACCTGGTGTTAAGTGGTTACTGGAGCCCATAGACATTTACAACGTAAATGCGCCACCCACCTTGAGATGTAAGTTCTAATGTCTCAGTATAGTTACAACGGCTGCCCCACCCTTCAAGCCGAAACGCATTACTGCTTCACGGCAGAAATAAGCGGGGTGGTGGTACCTACCCGTGCGGACTCACAAGAGGTCCTACCACCAGTAATTACGCAAATTATAATTTTGCGGGTTTGATTTTTATGTTTTTACGGAATAACCATCAAATTATACGATTTTATTCGTTTTTAATTTTGTTTTATTGCTTTACGCTGAAATACGAGCAAACGGTACCAGTCCGACGAGTTTCCGATGCGCTCCTGCAAACTATCAGAAACATGACGGATCGATTATCCTTATTAAACGTTCGTGTTCGAGACGGAAGACACAGAAACTACGAAGGTAAGCTGACTATCAGACTTTAAATCATTTATAGAATTTATAAATTTTCAGACGACATAAAACCAGTGCACTCCTTGCCTTAAAGCCCGATCTTAAAACCAGTGGGTCACCAGCGCTATATGAGACCAAACGAATTATTATCCGGTCAATTTTTCGAAAATTTATTTTCTTCTTCTTTGCCTCCACCTTCCCAGTAGGAGGGGTCGGCACAGCGATTTTTTCTATTCCATTCTCTTTTATCAGCCGACATCTCAACACTCACTCCTCTCACTCTCTCATATCGTCATTCTCACACTCCATCTATGTCTTCTTCGGTCGACCTCTTCCCCCTCTACTTTGCATTACCATTTCCATACATCTCTTAGTCACATGCATCTCCTCTCTACGCATCACATGTCCATACCACGGAAACCGTTCGCTCTTTAAGAATAGCTCTTCAAAAGAATAAATTCATAAAGTACATTCGCCCCCAAAATATGCACGATAAATGTTATCCTGAACAGATTAGATACTGGTCGCACCGTCGTCCGTCGCTTGTTTTATTGGAAAACAATAAATCAAGGACAACATTATTATTCACTAAATTATCTTTGGATGATTAATCTGATTCAAAATTTACGAGTATTGAGATTCTTGACCGTGTATACATTATTTTATTCCCATTTATATATTCTTATCAGCATAACTCACTGTTGGTAGGGAATACAGTGAGCACACACGGATAGGTATCACCATACTGCCTATTTTTTCGGCCGTTGCATGTACTGTAAAAATTGAGACGTAGGACTTATGTATGTCATAAGGTGGGTAGCGGCATTTAGGACGTTGATGTCTATGGACTCCGGTGACCACTAAACACCAAGTGGGCCGAGAGCTCATCCAACCATCTTCGAAATTATTTTTTTAAATGTGGCACCCGGTGGTTAATACTGTTGCCGAATTTCGGCGGCCCATACTTTAAGGCTTCGTCTAAACAACTGACCGCGACTCTTTGGTCGACCTATTCTTTGTCCACTCTTAGGGTAGTGAATCGGAACTGAGGAAGTCTATAAATCGATTCACAGTTTTTAGTGCTCAATAAAAAAACTCTTTTGAGTAGTAAATTAGCGTATTTTACCTTTGCAACATAATTAAAGAATGATATTAATTTTATTGCAAACGTTACACGCTTGAAATCATTTGACTGATCATAATTGAGTTATTAGAGTGAAATCGCATTACGTAATAACCAATCCGTTTAAATCATTTAGGTGCGTACGAGACGTGAAACATTTAATTATACTGATGATATTTTATTATTTTAAAAAAGGTTAGCTGATGAACGTTTGTTAAGTCGTGGCCTAAAGGACGCCCGGTGTACCTACTCATATCAAGCGATAGGACCACGTTCTGATGATATAGTTTTCTCAAGCGAATACGTATAACAAATATTCACCGATCGACTTCCGTAATGCAGGAATAGAATCGCGTGTCAAAAAATCAACCAAAATTGATTCAACTAAGTACTACCGTAGCATTTTCACTGGTTTTTGGTCAGTCGTAGACATAATAGTATTTGTACGGTTTAATCTCGCGTTTATTATTGTAATTTCTAAAAGGGCACATGTCGTATATTTTGTCAAATACGTTTTTTCATATACACGTAGACCCATTTTATAATAATTCCAGTAATTTTCAATTGCTAATCAACACTAAAATATATCTCAATAGTTAATATTTTAAATTTTACACTGCTTTAGAAAATAATCAGTTTTTTTTAATTTCCTGAACATTTTACATTTTCAGAGATGTGCCCTTTTCGAAATGGCATATTCAATTATATAATTTACATCCGCAAAAAAGCACTGTATTTTACTAAAAAAATAAATGATCTCTAATCAGAATACCGAAAATATAACTGGTATTTATGAAATCATAAATTCCCAAGCCAGATCAATGTATTGTGTTAAAAAACAAATTTCAATATTCTAAATTCATGAAAAACATTAATTCAATATAAATCAGTGTGGAGATATTACTTTCTACTGCTAAAATGAAATACATTATTTTCTTGCTGTAGGCAGCAGCTTGGCTGTACCCCTGGCATTACTGAAATCCATGTGCAATAATAAATACTTTTTTTAATTGCATATATGTGGGTGTATGAGCTCACGGCCCACTTGGTGTTAAATGTTTACCGGAGTCCATAGACATCTATAATTTTAATTAACCCGCCATTCACTTTAACACATGAGTTCTAAGGTCTCCGTTTTTACAGTACAACGGCTACCCCACCCTTCAAACCAAAACGCATTACTGCTACATGACAGCAATAGTTCGATGGGTGGACGAGCTCATAGTCCTGGTGTTAAGTGGTTACCGGAGCCCATAGACATCGACAACGTAAATGACGCCACCCATTTTGAGATATGAGTTCTAAGGTCTCAGTATAATTACAACAGTTGCCCCCCGCCCTTCAAACCGAAAGGCGTTACTGCTACACGGCAGAAACGGGCAGAGTGGTGGTACCTACCCGTGCGAAGTCAGCAGTCCTACCACCAATAGACTGTATCCTGCCTACATTGGCATTTAAGAAAATATAAGTATGAATGTGTATTGCATATATTACCAGTGAAAATATATAATATAATTTAACACACATTCTCTTAAAAGTTCTTTAACAATTGGCAATATTATTTTTGGTTATTTGCAGTCAAAACAATTACACCTTCTATTCAGAACATGCTATCAATTGAATGTGTAATATGTATAATGCATACCAGTCTTACCGTACATAGTGTCGACTGATAGTAGAAGACAAAATGTTTAGATCATTTGAATATATCCCAATTTTGTTATATCATTTATGTCAATGATGAATGTTTCCAGTTGCGAGTCTGTATTATCAGTACGCCTTCAATTCAAGCATTCAGCGATTATTTACCACAAAATATTCATTCTTACTAGTCTACAGACTGTCATACATGACAGCCCTTTAATAATATTATCAAAGCTTCCATCTCATGTTTAAATATGGACATCCTGCTATAACTAAACTTAAACCTATATCTCAAAAATCTTTATTTGTATTTAGATTTTTTTTCTCTAAGCACTTGTCATTTTTGTGTATACTGTGACATTGGCAATCAAACACCGAAACAGTTGCATCGCTCAATACAAATGCACCAGGCATCTTATCTTTTAAGCTACAACAACTTTAGTCAATCACGAACATTTGATAAGTATTTGGCTAATATCACTGATAGATACCAACAATGCTAAGGACACTGTCAAGTCAGTGTACAGCTAATGACTTTTTCTCAGTTCTCATAAGGACTTGTCATAGGACTCAGGGAACACCTCGGTGGGAAGCCAAATCAATTCCTCGGAACACAGATATGACCATATCAGCTACAAGAAGTACTTAATTTGTGTCTCCAATGCTTTTAAAAGATTTGTTCTATTTTTTTTTTTATTGCCCTTATAGGCAGGCGAGCATACGGCCCACCTGATGGTGAGTGGTTACCGTCGCCCATGGACTTCAGCAATGCCAGGGGCAGAGCCAAGCCGCTGCCTACCGCTTAATACTCTCCACAAGCCTCGTTTGAAGAAGGACATGTCTTAGCGCTCGGCAAACACCGTGGAGGGGAGCTCATTCCATAGCCGGATGGTACGTGGCAAAAAAGACCTCTGGAAACGCACTGTGGATGACCGCAGTGGCTCCAGGTAGTATGGATGAACTCTACTCCGGTGGCGGATATGATTTTATTCTCTTCAATTGGCACCTAGCATTGTTGTATCATTTCATTCAGAATTTTATAGCACAGGTAATAATACATTTTAGTTTCATTTGCATAAAAACTTGAATTTTGTCACAAAGCCAACGCTTGTTGTCTATTTCCAGAATTTCTAAATTTCAACTCAAGGTCAGCCATCTCTTGGAAAATACCGATTATCGTTTTTGTGTATAAATTGTACACAGTTTTTAAATTACTCATATAGGACATGGTTTTATCAATATAATTTAACTGACTTTTTTAATAAAAAAATTTGCTACAATAATTACATTAGGGATTGTACCAATTATATTTAACATTAAATTGATCAAGAACATTTTTATTTTTTGGGACATATTTTAGTACAATTTCATAAATAAAAAAAGTATTCTCTATTCAAGACTATATTATTATTATCACCTCTTATACATACTTAAGTTAAAAATTTACTGTTCGGAATGCACAAAACTAGTAAGAACCTACTTAGGAAGGAATTTAAGGATTTTACTTTATTATTTTTTGTATGTTTTTATAATACTAACGACTGACCTTATATAAAAACGATGTATGATTGTGGCTGGGTGAATTAGCCAGAGGTTGCGGAGTTGCCGGACGCGAGCCCCCGGAGAGGCACTGGGATGACGCCGAGAGCCTAGTCCCGACGATCTTCTGACACGCTGTAATAAACACCACGTTAAACAAAACACAACACATCGACTTTCACGGCACATTTTTTCATATTACTATTTCACGCACATTCAAACTTAGTCGATTTCCTACGATCGCGTTCTTCGGCTCTTTGTATGTTGTAGCACGAACTCCTACGTCTCAAACTTGAAATAGGTGATAGATTAGACTTGAAAATGAGCGTTCTCTCCATCCTTCCATTCAGAATTAGACTTTTTAATTTAAAATCAACGAACAACACTTCCGATGCTAAACACTGTCAAAAATGTAAACAATGCGCGGAACGAATGAACAAGAACGACCACTCAGCTACAGGCCGGTGTTGCCACTAGCCGCGAGTAAACTCCTTGCGTCTCGCAATCGCCGAACTACTAACGCCCAACGCCAGTCATCGCGATGTAAAATCACGCGAGACGATACTCGTAAAATCATGTTACGTAATTTTATAACTCTCTATCTGATATCGATTTCAACGGAACGAATTCCATAAACTCGCTAGATCTGATAATGTGCATCAATAAAATTACTATAATTAATTTACGATTTTTTAAGGTTCCCAACATTACTCTTCGTTTAAGGAACTGATTAAACCAATTTTCTTTTTCCTTTCCTTAATCCCTATGATTGTTTACTGTTTGATTATTTAATTTTATTGTGAATTATACAATTTATATAGTAATTTTCTACATCATGTATCCTTTTTCTTTGAATTTAGATAATTTTCACAAAATGAATAAATAGGCCCTACATTTCTTCTTGTTCTCCGTTTACTAATTATTTGAGTATAACATACTCAGCTTCTGTTTAAACTATAGAATGTAGAACTAACGACTTATGCCCGCTATACTTTTCAATCAACGAGATTGGAAATAAAATTGAACATTGATTCTATAAACGAATTCACACGGTTAGATTTCAATCAAAAGATAAACAACAAAAGAATTTCATGCAAATCGAGAAACGGTAACGGCATTCCTTGATAAAACTAACCATCGAAAACCTCGACTGGGCTGACATCATCCATATTTAAATATTCCGCAGTCGACTGAATTCGTTACACTTACCATCTTGAAACACTCGCTCCACATTTAAGCCATAGGTAGCACATGTCTCGTAGTATGAACATCTTCGTAGTTCATTGGACAGCTTGCGAGCGCGGTTGTCGTCTACTACACGTGGACTACTTTCACTTATGGCATCTGGAAGAGCAACCAATAATTTAATAGGAAATAATTTATATCGAACCGTTTACGTAATTATGCATAACGTTTGGAAACTACTCTGTATTATTTTGTGAACAGCGAGTGAATCTACTGGTCTTTTGAGAACAAATTTTGTCGTTAATATTCAGAACACTTAGGTTCAAATTGAAATATACAAATCTAATCTTGTACAGCATAAATCTCAAAAGACAAAACTTTAAGGCAGATGTTTATTAATCCACAAAGAGAATTGGAAGATCGTTCAATAAACTCACCTTGGGTTCCAACCAATATGATTGGAATTTCTGCTGAATTCCTATAATGGGACATTTTATTGAAGTAACTAGATATTGTGTTGTAGCTGATCTCGTTCTCCAAGCTAAAGACGAAGATTACCGCGTCAACCCACGCGGTGAACTGAAACAAAAAAAACATATACATTTATATGCGCCACCCACCTTGAGATATAAGTTCTAAGGTCTTAGTGTAGTTGTAATGGCTGCCCCACCCTTCAAACCGAAATGCATTACTGCTTCACGGCAGAAACAGGCAGGATGGTGGTACGTACCCGCGCGGACTCATAAGACGTCCTACCACCAGTAAAAAAATAGTTTTGTACTGTTTGTCCACTGAACAAGCCCTTTGTACTACTACTACCAGTAGTACTGTATATTCCTGGCTCACGTGAATTCTAGGTTTCATAGGCTTGTACAAATATTTATTGTATTTGACATTGATTCTAGAATTAGTTCGGACATTATAAAAGCTTTTGGGTTTTTAACAAGCTACATTAATTGTCCATTTTTAGAGTCGATTACATTCATACTCGAAAATATTCAGTGAAATCTTTAGAAACAACCATCGCTTTTTTTTGTAATCTAATATTACGTATATCCCCATAAACCTAACATTGCAAAATTAAGCCCGCAGGAAAAAACCCACACCCTTGTCGAAGAGCCCCATTAAAATTACTTGGGGTAATTTCGTGCAGTCGCAGGGGAAAACAGAAGGGTTGCGTAAAACACGGAAAAGAAAGCTATAACATATGCAAAAGAATGCACATGTTATAATGTCTGCCACAATCTAAAATATTACATTAATTAATACAGACTAGAGGTCCCGCAGTAGTCGAAATTCGACTATAATTAATTGGAATTGTAAGTTTGTACACTATTATGATTGTATTTTATACTTCTATAATCACAAATTTCGCCAAGATTACACTATAAAAAATATTAACAAAGGCAAACAATATTTAATCTATTCTCAATTTGACAACAAACGTCAAGAACAAAAGATTGACAATAAATAGTATGCATGCGTGTGTGCGTCAAATACATGGTATGTAGTGTGTATAATGTTTTCTTTATTGATTTAATGTATCTTTTATGCATTATTTTAAAAAAATATTAGCATTGTGCACTTCTTCTCTATATTCTCTATAAGGATGGAAAATTTCATACTCCTCTGTCCGCGCAATTTTCGTAAAAAGGGATACAAAGTTTTTGCTTCACGTATTAATATATAGATAATATAAAAAATAGGTGAATAAATTCGTATGTTAGACTTTGTTATTGAACATTCTTGTATATACTTTGGTTAACAATAACACAATAGGCAAGAGAACACTATTGTTTCAATTTCAAGATTCAATTATTCAAGAACGAACATTACATCGTCATTTTGATTTGAAAAAAAATCCCGAGGTCTTTATTTTCGGTTAAATCTTAAGGAAATAATGTCATGGTTCTTTTTTATTGCTTAGATGGACGAACGAGCTCACAGGCCACCTGGTGTTAAGTCGTTACCGGAGCCCGTAGACATCTACAACATAAAGCCTCTACCGACCTCAAGACACGAGTTCTAAGGTCTCCGTTTTTACAGTACAACGGCTGCCCCGCCCTTCAAACGTAAACTCATTACTAATTACTGCTTCACGGCAGAAATAGGCAGGGCGCTGGTACATACCGGTTGAGACTGACAACATACCCGTGGGGACTCACAAGCGTCCTACCACCAGTAATTACGCAAATTATAATTTCGTATTACTTTAAAATGTTCTAATCTCTTTAAATACTGATATTAAATATAGGCGTACGTCAATTTAGCTGGAGCCTGTCAAGTATATGACTAGCCCAGCTTCCACTCGAACGGACGTTGCGTAGGAGGGTGCCACCCCTTTACTCGACGAGTTAAACAAGAGCCGTCATCCGGCACCGGAGTGCGTGTCCGTGATGAGAGAGGAAAAACCATAGAAAAACCGGTTCTACCTTGAGAGTTCTTTGTCTAACTTATTCGTGTAAAGAGCGTCACATTTCAAACGTAACGGTTTCAACGGAACGTCTGTGTCAAGGACGTTTTAATAATATGCATGATTCATTGTTTTTAAGTGTGGTACGAAAAAATACAACACCCGGCAATATTATGTAATTACAGTTGAATAAACCGATCATGAAAACAGCCACAATTATTTATAGCAAAAATATTTAATATTTTTATAATACATACATTTTTATAATATATAACATCACGCTAAGACCAATACAAGCGGAGCACCAATAAAGAATGTTTCAAATTAGGTGTTTGAACAGCTCCTTAACCTTCTATAATTCAAAAATATTTTCACCTTCTACGTAAATGAAGTGGGGGGGTAAAATTTATCATTACGCCAAAGTAACTATTCCACGCGGACGGAGTCGCGGGCAAAAGCTATGTAATAATAAAATGAAAATGAATACGTGTACATAATTATTTATGTGTATCATCGAAATATTACTTTCCGAAGGCAGACACCCGGAAAATGTTAGTTTAAATGGCGCGTGAAATAAAAGTAATTTTATTGCATTCGTAAATTTAACTGCGGACCTTCGCTTGCGTTCTTGAAATAAGTATGACGATAAAAGAAACGCTGTTGTAATTCTTATAAAATATATGTAATAAATATATAGAATAATCATCAGTCTAGAATTTAATGAGTGTAGAGAAAATATAAGTCTAAATTAACGATAGGCAGCGGCTTGGCTCTGCCCCTGGCAATGCTGAAGTCCATGGGCAACGGTAACCACTTACCGGTGGGCCGTATGCTCGTCTGCCTACACGTGCAATAAAAAAATTTTTTTTAAGCAATTAATATGATTTTTAAAACACCTGGTCTTTCGACCGTAATAATGACTGACCCTCAAAAGTAACTTAAATAATCTTACCTAGTCAAATTACTCAATAATACAGAGCAGTTGGTTTTAAGGAGGATTATAATAATCTCACCGATCCATCACGACTTTGAGATGTCACTAATAACACGATGTTTTATTATACGATATGAGACAATAATCTCATAATTTATTACTTTTTATTTTAACGAGCTGTAATAAAACAAATGCACACTCCACGAGCAGCTCTTGGATACTGGGCGGGCGGGCGACTTCAAGTGTAGGGCGGTGAAACCTTTCGCTATCTGCCTTTCAGTCGCACTCGTGGTATTCAGCATTTGGAATGAGATTGAAAAAGAGATAGAAATAAATGCATAGTGCAAATAACTTGTACCGTAGCCCGAAAACAATAGTTGCTTTAAAGCCATTATTACTTTTACCATTAATAACTTAATTTTGAGTAAATTTAATTGTATATGTATCTCTCTGTCTTCGTTTCGAACTTTATCTTTAACAATCGACTTAGAATAGTGATACATTAACAGCGATTTACTATGATATTTCATAAACAGCCAAAAATTGATTACTTGAGACTTCAGAACTTATATCTCAAGGTCTATGGGCTCCAGTAACCACTTAACACCAGGTGGGCTGTGAGCTCGTTCACTCATCTAAGGAATAAAAAATTTTATAAAAAAATGTCTTCATCGAATATTTTTTTCATCCTGTCCAATAATTAATTTGTCTTACTACAGACTAGGTAAATTATTCTAAATATTGGACCTCAAAAATAGAGAACTAGCAGGGACGTCATCAAATATGTAATAGTAAAGCATGTAGTCAATTTAAACTCGATAATAATAAAAGCTGAATGAGACCGTTCTTTGTATGGACCCTAGACTTAAATCAGACACAGTGTTCTTATCTTGGTACTGGCGAGGTTTTTGAGTACAGCGTTGTGCATTGTAATTGTAATTTCTTAAAAGTTTTAGTGCAACACCCCAACAAGGTCAGACAACGAGAGAGAGAGTTTATGAATCTAGAAAACGAATTGATTTTGAAATTGCCGATTCACAATATCAATATCAGTTGTTTCGGTAATCGTTTTTCATAGCTCGTGAATAATGTACATAATATATATATAGATTGATATGCAGGCGTAATGAATTTCGAAAAGTTTCTAATGAATATAAAATAAAAATCTTTTACGTTTATTTATTACTATAGATATACAGACTACGTCTTGGCCTCGCTTTGTTATTAATTCGTTGCCTTAGTCCATAAAATCCTAATGTGTACAACAACAACCGGTTCGGAGAAATGCTGTCTCATACTTATAAACCTAACAGTCAGATTGATGGTACCCATCTAGTTATGCACCCATTTGTTATTGTTATTTAAGTGCGTCGAGAACAATACCACTAGTTTAATAGCTTTAGGTTTTATATAACGAATATATTACTGTATTTGTTTAAGTGAGACTGTTCTGATGTAGCCTTGAAACTTCTATAAAGGCAATTAGATAACGCATTCGAGGAAATTCAACGAGAACTCGATTTCTTTTCCAAAAATGCGTAACTTTACCTTGGAATATACAATGTTCAATTATATCTCCTAAACAAAACCGCTACCATTCTGAGCTTCAATTGCGATGAAAATGAATGAAGCCTAGTGCGTGTCAGACATATTTCAACAACACATAAATAAAACCCTGACTACAAAATAAAAAACAAAGATAAAATGAGATATGGACTCTTGAAGAACCAACTTTCAAATGTAGTAAAAAAATCTACATGGGTATAATTTTTTTTATTAGATTGTTTATATTGCTCGTAAACTCGATCTTGCATAGGTTTCGGGGGCTTTTGTTATCTCCAATGAACTCGGAACCTGTTTTCGAGTATCCACAAAAACAGGGTATGATACGAATGAAGATACAGTAAATAAAGTCGAAAGTGTTGGACGCTTTCTATTTCCGAAATAAAATTCGAAACTTGCTGGAGCATCGAAATTGAGACAAGTGAATTGAGACAAAGAATATCAGTTCATGTTAGTTTTTCTTAAAAGACAAGTAGGTAACAAAACATGCGGAACGAAGTTAGACACACTAACGAAGTACTAACATGATTCTAAATTGAGGCCATCAGCGCAAAAGTGGCCTAACCCACAATTTTTTAGATTCAATCATATATGACGTATATTGGAATTTATTTAAAATATAATAAATTTTGATGCGAAACCGGCCTATCCATAGTTTCACCCATAGAT